TCTCGCTCTTTCTTTCGTGACCGCACTGTCCTTGAGCCACTAGCTCGGCCGGTTGCTGTCTCTCTTGCTGACCCCTCTGGGGGTCCGGTCATTGCGACCTCCTCCACTACACTTCCGTGTCCAGCGGTTCCGTCCGGCACGCTCTCAGGTCTCTACCTCCCCTCGTTCTCTACGAACTTGGTGGCAGGTTGTGCGCTGCAGGACGGGGGTGTTCACCAGTTCACCCCTGCCTACGAGCGTGTGACACACTGCACGTGTGCTCGGACGGGCCGCCACCTGGCTACTTTCACTCGAGAGCCGGGGTCGGACCTGTACACACTGACCACTGAGTCCCCTCAGGTAGCTGCGTCTGCGTCTGCGTCAGGTCAGCTGTCCGCCCCCTGCTCGTGTCGCTCTCTGGCGCATGAGACTGTCCTCTGGCACCACCGCCTTGGTCACCCGTCTGTGCAGCGCCTTCGGGCCATGCACAAACGGGACCTTGTTGCTGGTCTTCCCAGGGTGCTCCCTCCCCTTCCCGACTCCCCTGCTCCTGACTGCATTCCCTGTGTCGAGGGGCGGCAGCGCGCCGCTCCTCACTCCTCCTCCTTTCCCCCGACGACTGCTCCCTTGCAGACGCTCCACATGGACGTGTGGGGCCCAGCCCGCGTCCGTGGTCAGGGTCAGGAGAGGTACTTCCTGATAGTTGTTGACGACTACTCGCGCTACACCACAGTCTTCCCCTTGCGCGCCAAGGGTGACGTCCCTGGTGTTTTGATCCCCTGGATCAGTCGAGCCCGTCTCCAGCTAGGCAAGCGCTTTCACTCGGACTTTCCTGTCCTGCGCTTGCACTCTGACAGAGGTGGTGAGTTCGCCTCCGACCTCTTGGCAGCCTACTGTGCTGAGCACGGTATTGAGCAGTCGTTCACGCTTCCGGCCTCTCCGCAGCAGAATGGGGTCGCTGAGCGCCGCATTGGCCTAGTCATGGAGGTCGCTCGTACCTCCCTGACCCATGCGGCTGCTCCCCACTTTCTGTGGCCGTTTGCGGTCCGATACGCTGCGCATCAGCTCAACCTCTGGCCCCGTGTCTCCGTGCCGGAGACTTCCCCGACTCTGCGGTGGACGGGAGAGGTTGGCGATGCGTCGCGTTTCCGGATCTGGGGATCTCGAGCTTTTGTCCGCGACACGTCCGCGGACAAGCTCTCGCGTCGCGCCGTTCCCTGTGTCTTTCTTGGCTTTGTGCCTGACGCGCCTGGATGGCAGTTTTACCACGTCACCTCGCGCCGGGTTCTGGCCTCTCAGGACGTCACTTTTGACGAGTCCGTCCCCTTCTACCGCCTCTTCCCCTACCGCACTGCCCCGCTCCCCCCCCCGCCTCTCTTCCTCGCTCCAGGTGCTGAGGTACCAGACCCCCTCCCCCCTCAGGGTGCCGCTCCCTCAGGTGTGTCCCAGGTAGACCCGGGTGAGCCTGTCGAGGTAGCTGTTGACTCGCGTCCTGCGTCTGGGGGTGCTGAGCCTGGGGGTGCTGAGTCTGGGGGTGCTGAGTCTGGGGGTGCAGAGCCTGGACGTGCGGAGCCTGGGGGTGCTGAGCCTGGAGGTGCGGAGCCTGGAGGTGCGGAGCCTGGTGGTGCTGAGTCTGGGGGTGCTGAGTCTTCGGGTGCTGAGCCTGAGCGTACTACACCTGGAGGAGCCCTCTCCTCCCAGCAGCTGCAGGAGAGGTACCTCGAGTACTGCCGCCTCCGGAGAGGTGCTTCTGGAGCTCGTCCCAGTACTTCCCCTCCTACCCAGGAGCTCCCCCCCATTCAGGTGATCCGAGAGTGGTACACACGGCGCTGCAGTCTTCGGAGTGGTGCTCCTGGTGCAGCGGACCCGAGCGGTGGCGCTGTTGCTGGTGCTGAGGACCCGGACGCTGGAGCTGCTGCTGGTGCTGAGGACCCGGGCGTTGGAGCTGCTGTTGGTGCTGAGGACCCGACCGGCGGCGCTACTGCTGGTGCTGAGGACCTGACCGGTGGCTCTGCTGCTGGTACTGAGGACCCGGGCGTTGGAGCTGCTGCTGGTGCTGAGGACCCGGGCGTTGGAGCTGCTGCTGGTGCTGAGGACTCGGGCGTTGGAGCTACTGCTGGTGTTGAGGACCCGGGTGTTGGAGCTGCTGCTGGTGCTGAGGACTCGGGCGTTGGGGCTGCCGCTGGTGTCCCTGCTGGTTCTGGAGACGCTGTGCGGCCGCGACCGTACTTCGTACCACTCCTTCAGCAGGTTCTTGGTCAGGCTCCTCCTCCTAGTCCTCCTCCCACCGTCGAGTGTCCTCTGCCTGTCCCACCGCAGTCACAGTTACCGCCTGCCTCGCCTCTCCCTGCTCCCTCTCCTTACGCTGGTCCCACAGGAGGTCTTACAGAGCGTCGTGAGCCTGAGTCTCGTCCTGCATCGCCTGTTCGTACTACTCGCACTGGTCGTCGTGTCCCACGTGAGCGTCCCCCTCCTGTCCCTGGCACTCACTACATGACCTTGCGTCCCTCCACTGCTCCGCAGCGTGTCCCGCTGCCGTCTCCTCCTGCGTCATCTCTTCCTACTCTTCCTGACCCGGAGTCTGACTCCCGTCGTGCGGCCAGTCCCACTGTTACGCGTCTCCTCGCTACAGTTGTCACTGACCCGACCTTTGAGTCCTCTGCTGCGTCTGCTCTGGTCGCTGAGCTGGTTGACTTTGCTGCTCGCTGTCGCTTAGACTACGCTGCCAGCCTTGTCGCTGAGTCTGAGTCTGAGTCTGCCTGTCCTCCGTCCGTCGGGGGTGAGTGTGCTCTTGGCACGGACGTCCTTGAGGACAGACAGGAGGAGTTCCAGTGCTTTGCTGCTGCTTTGCCCCATCTCGTGTCCATGCTTGTTGCCCCTGAGGGAGACCCGGATGCACCAGACATCCCGACCCCGCGCTCTTACGCTGAGGCGATGGCGGGTCCCTACTCCTCTCAGTGGCAGACAGCCATGGACGCAGAGATGGCTTCCTGGAAGTCCACAGGCACCTACGTCGACGACGTTCCCCCTCCTGGGGCGAACATCGTCAGTGGCATGTGGATTTTCAGGGTGAAGCGGCCGCCGGGTTCTCCTCCTGTCTTCAAGGCACGCTACGTGGCTCGAGGCTTCAGTCAGCGAGAGGGAGTCGACTTCTTCCAGACCTTCTCCCCCACCCCGAAGATGACCACTCTTCGGGTGCTGCTGCACATAGCCGCTCACCGCGACTACGAGCTTCACTCACTTGACTTCAGCACTGCTTTCTTGCAGGGCAGCCTGCACGAGGAGATCTGGTTGCGCCGCCCTCCTGGCTTCACTGGGTCGGTTCCTCCTGGCACCCAGTGGAGGCTTCAGCGGCCGGTCTACGGTCTCCGCCAGGCGCCACGTGAGTGGCACGACACACTGAGGACGACGCTTGCGGCTCTTGGGTTCGCTCCCTCTACTGCTGACCCGTCGCTGTTTCTACGCACCGACACCTCGCTGCCGCCGTTCTACATCCTCGTGTACGTTGACGACTTGGTCTTTGCCACAGCTGACACAGCGGCACTCGCCCACGTGAAGTCGGAGCTGCAGAGGAGACACACGTGCACAGACCTGGGTGAGCTGACAAGCTATCTTGGCTTGCGGATCACCCGGGACAGAGCACGGCGCACCATCACCTTGACTCAGTCACACATGGTGCAGCAGGTTCTCCAGCGCTTCCGCTTCACGTACTCCTCGCCTCAGTCCACTCCTCTGCCTACCGGTCACTCGCTCTCAGCTCTGCCTTCGGATGAGTCCGTAGAGCCGAGTGGCCCATATCCAGAGCTTGTGGGCTGCCTCATGTACCTGATGACCTGCACTCGACCTGACCTGGCATACCCTCTTAGCATCCTTGCACGCTATGTCGCTCCTGGCCGTCACAGGAAGGAGCACATGGATGCCGCTAAGAGGGTGTTGCGCTACTTGTGCAGTACGTCGGGCATGGGGCTTGTGCTTGGAGGGCGGGACCGGGTTGTTCTCACAGGGCACTCAGATGCTTCTTGGGCAGACGACCAGGCTACTCAGCGGTCGTCACAGGGTTACACCTTCAGCCTTGGCTCTGGCTCAGTTTCTTGGCGTTCTACTCGTTCGTCTTCTGTTCTCAGCTCCAGTTGTGAGGCTGAGATCTACGCCACAGCCATGGCTGCTCAGGAGCTGCGCTGGCTGACCTACCTGCTGACCGACCTCGGAGAGCGGCCTCGTTCTCCTCCAGTGCTGTACGTCGACAACAAGGCTGCCATTGCCTTGTGTGAGGAGCACAGACTGGAGCACAGAACGAAGCACATTGCTCTGCGGTACTTCCTTGCTCGAGAGCTGCAGCAGCGCGGTCAGCTTCGTCTGCGTTACGTGGCCACTGAGGCCAACACTGCTGATGTGTTCACCAAGGCACTCCAGCCTTGTGACCATCAGCGCTTCTGTACTCTGTTAGGTCTTGTGCCTACTGGCCCTCACTTGCTCACTTCTTGACTTTGCCTGTACTGTGATCACTATATATTTATATACCTGCATGTTTACTCTTGCTAGGTTGTGATCATTGTACGTCTTGCTCTATTATAAACCTGCATGTGAACTGGTCTTGTGACCGCTTGTTTGTGCTCGGAATTTGTGTGGAATCCTCGAGATCCACCCTGAGCTTGTTTGCCTTACTTTGCCTTGACTGGTCTTGTGACCCCTAGGTCTCCCCCACTTTGCCTATGGGGGTGTGTCAAACATTATATATGTTTGGTTTGTTAGGCTACAGTGGGTTAGCCTGTATGGGGTACACAATTCTAGGGTTAGCTATTTGTACTGATTTCTCTGTTAGTTCAACCATTCCAGTCTCGTAATCTTGACACAACGTAGATGCTAAGAGGGTACGCAAGGTCAGGTCGAGTGCAGGTCATCAGGTACATGAGGCAGCCCACAAGCTCTGGATACAGGCCACTCGGCTCTACGGACTCGTCCGAAGGTGGAGCTGAGAGCGAGTGACCGGTAGGCAGAGGAGTGGACTGTGGTGAGGAGAACTAGAAGCCGAAGCGCTGAAGGACCTGCTGCACCATGTGTGACTGAGTCAGGGTAATGGTGCGCCGTGCTCTGTCCCGAGTGATCTGCAAGCCAAGATAGCTGCGCAGCTCACCCAGGTCTGTGCACGTGTGTCTCTTCTGCAGCTCCGACTTCACAACGGCCAGTGCCTCAGTGTTAGCAGTGGCAAAAACCAAGTCGTCGACGTACACAAGGATGTAGAACGGCGGCAGCGAAGTGTCTGTGCGCAGAAACAGCGACGGGTCAGCAGTCGAAGGAGCAAACCCGAGAGCCGCAAGCGTCGTCCTCAGTGTGTCGTGCCACTCACGAGGCGCCTGGCGGAGACCGTAGACTGGCCGCCGGAGGGTACCTGTAGGAAACGACCCAGTGAAGCCAGGTGGGCGGCGCAACCAGATCTCCTCGTGCAGGCTGCCCTGTAAGAAAGCTGTGCTGAAGTTAAGAGAGTGAAGCTCGTAGTCACGCTGAGCAGCAACGTGCAGCAGCACCTGAAGAGTGGTCATCTTCGGGGTAGGGGAGAAGGTCTGGAAGAAGTCAACTCCCTGTCACTGACTGAAGCCTCGAGCAACGTAACGAGCCTTGAAGACATGCGGAGAACCCGGCAGCCGCTTCACCCTGAAAATCCACATGCCATCGACTATGTTCGCCCCAAGAGGGGGAACTGCGTCGACGTAAGTGTCTGTGGACTTCCAGGATGCCATCTCTGCGTCCATGGCTGTCTGCCACTGAGAGGAGTAAGGACCCGAAATCGCCTCTGCGTAAGAGCGCGGGGTCGGGATGTCAAGTGCATCCGGGTCTCCCTCAGGTGCAAGCAGCCAGGCCACGAGATGAGGTACAGCAGCCGCAAGACACTCAAAATCCTCCTGCCTGTCCTCAAGGACGTCCGTGCCAAGAGCACACTCACCCCCGACGGACGGAGGATAGACAGACTCAGACTCAGCAACAAGACTAGCAGCGTAGTCGAGACGACACGCAGCAGCAAAGTCCACAAGCTCAGCAACTAAGGCAGACGCAGCAGTAGACTCAAACGACGGGTCAGTGACGACTGTGGCCAGGAGACGCGTGATAGTGGGACTGGCAGCACGAACCAAGTCAGACTCAGGGTCCGGAACGTCAGGAAGAGAGGACGCAAGAGGAGACGACAGAGGGACACGATGCAGAACAGAGGAAGGACGAAGTGCCATAGTGTGAGTACCTGGCATAGGAGGATGACGCGGACGTGGGACACGTCGAGCGCGACGAACAGTGCGAACAGGGGAGGCAGGACGAGACGCAGGCTCACGACGCTCTGTAAAGAAGGCTGGTTGCGTAGTGTAACGAGGCGGGGCAGGCAGCGGTGAGTCCGGAGGAAGGGCAGTGGACGAAGGAAGACTAAGAACCTGACGGAGCACTGAGGCGGTAGGTCGCACAGCTGCGGCGGCGAGAAGAAAATTGGGCGCTGCTGCAAAGTGCCCACAACACCAGTAGCTCCAGCTCCAGGGTCTCCAGCGCCAGCACATCTAGCTCCAGCGCCTCCAGCTCCAGCGTCTCCAGCTCCAGTGCCTCCAGCGCCAGCACCTCCAGCTCCAGCGCCACCAGCTCCAGCTCCAGCGCCACCAGCTCCACCGCCTCCAGCGCCAGCGTCTCCAGTCCCAGTGCCTCCAGCGCCAGCACCTCCAGCTCCAGCGCCTCCAGCTCCAGCGTCTCCAGCTCCAGCGTCTCCAGCTCCAGTGCCTCCAGCACCAGCACCTCCAGCTCTAGCGCCTCCAGCTCCAGCGCCTCCAGCGCCAGCGCCTCCAGCTCCAGCGTCTCCAGCTCCAGTGCCTCCAGCTCCAGTGCCTCCAGCTCCAGCGCCTCCAGCTCCAGTACCTCCAGCTCCAGTGCCTCCAGCGCCAGCGCCTCCAACCCCAGTGCCTCCAACTCCAGCGCCGCCTGCTGCAGGCGCGCGACTCCGAAGGCGGGTGCGCCGAGCGAACCACTCTCGCAGCTGCTGTGGGGAGAGAGACTCCACAGTGCCTCCAGAACCAGTGCCGCCAGGACTAGCAACCCCAGTACCACCAGTACCTCCAGCTCCAGTACCTCCAGCGTCAGCGCCTCCAGCTCGAGGGCCTCCAGCTCTAGCGCCTCCAGCTCCAGCGTCTGCAGCTCCAGCCTTTGCAGCTCCAGCACCTCCAGCTCCAGCGCCTCCAGTGGAAGTGCCCCCAGCTCCAGTGCCTCCAGCTCCAGTACCTCCAGGGCCAGTGCCTGCAGCTCCTGTGCCTCCAGCTCCAGTAGCACGACTCCGAAGGCGGGTGCGCCGAGCAAACCACTCGCGCAGCTGCTGGGGCGAGAGAGGCTCTTGCTGGCTAGACCGCTGCGAGGAGGTACCCAGAGGACTACCAGCAGACGCAGCACCCCCAGGCTCAGTACCCCCAGGCTCAGCACCCCCAGACACAGCACCCCCAGGCGCAGCACCCTCAGGCTCTGCACGTACAGGCTCAGCACCCCCAGGCTCCGCACGCTCAGGCTCAGCACTCCCAGGCTCCGCACGCTTAGGCTCAGCACCCCCAGGCTCCACACGCTCAGGCTCAGCACCCCCAGACGTAGTACCTCGAGCAGCACCACCCCAAGTAGCACCAGAGTCACCAGTGACCTCGACAGGCTCAGCTAAGGGAAGTGGGTCTACCTGAGAGACACCTGAAGGAGCAGGACCCTCAGGAGGGAGGGGGTCTACCGGAGGGGGACCTGGAGCGAGGAAGAGCGGCGGAGGGGGGAGAGGGGCAGAGCGGTAGGGGAAGAGACGGTAAAAGGGAACTGACTCGTCAAACGTGACGTCCTGAGAGGGCAGGATACGCCCGGCACGAGGTGGGGTGGTAAAACTGCCAGCCAGGCGCGTCAGGAGGGAAGCCAAGGAAGACACAGGGAATGGTGCGGGAGGAGAGCTTGTCCGCGGAGGTATCGCGGACAAAGGCACGAGAGCCCCAGACCCGGAACACCGACGCATCGCCAACCTTCCCCCTACAAAGCAGTGTAGGCGAGGTCTCTGGCAAGGAGACACGGGGCCAGAGGTTGAGCTGATGCGCAGCGTACCGGACCGCAAACGGCCACAAAAAATGGGGAGCAGCCGCATGGATCATAGAGGTACGAGCCACCTCCATGACTAAGCCAATGCGGCGCTCTGCAATCCCATTCTGCTGCGGGGAGGCCAGAAGCGTGAACGACTGGAGGATGCCCTCCCCCTGACAAAAGTCCCGCAAGAGGTCGGAGGAAAACTCACCACCTCTGTCAGAGTGCAGACACAGGACGGGAAGGTCCGTGCGGAACCGCTCGCGGAGCTGGAGACGAACAGCGCGGATCCAAGGGATCAAGACATCAAGGACCTCCCCCTTGCTGCGCAAGGGGAAGACCGTGGTGTAACGCGAGTAGTCGTCAACAACCAGCAAAAGTACCGCTCGCAGCCCTATCCAGTGACGCGGGCTGGGCCCCACACGTCCATGTGGAGAGTCTGCAAGGGAGCAGTCGTCGGGGGAAACGAGGAGGAGTGAGGAGCGGCGCGCTGCCGCCCCTCGACGCAAGGAATGCAGGGCGGGGCAGGCGAGGGTGGGAGGGGAGGGAGAGACCTGGGAAGACCAGAGACGAGAAGGTGGGAGTGCATGCCACGAAGGCGTGGCAGGGAGGGGTGACCAAGGCGGTGGTGCCACAGGAGAGTCTGGTGCGACAGGAGGCGACACGAGCACGAGGCGGCTACCTGACCTGACGCGGACACCTGACCAGACGCAGCGACCTGAGGAGGCGCAGTAGTCAGTGTGTACAGACTCGACCCAGGCCGACGGGTGAACGTGGCCAGGTGACGGCCAGTCCGGGAGCACGTGCAGATCGCCACACGCTGGCCTCCAGGGGTAAAGGTATCAACCCCTGCATCCTGAAGGACCGCGTTACTCACCAAGTTTGTCGAGAACGAGGGGAGGTGGAGACCTGACAGTGAGCCGGACGGAACCGCCGGACAAGGGAGAACAGTGGAGGAATGTGCAAGAACTGGTCCCCCAGAGGGGTCAGCCTATGAGACTGCAACTGGTCTAGGGAGTGGTGTGACTATGGTACTGTCGCGAAAGAAGCAGCGAGAAGCACCTGAGTCAAGCATGAAGGTGTGCAAGGCCTCAGCAGGCGTAGTACCAGAGAGAGAAGACTCACTAGCACCTAGAGCAGTAGCCTCTATACCTGGGTCGGGCGGCACACACAAGTAACAGTCACCCTCAGTACCAGCAGTCAAAGCATACATGGCAGTAAGGATAGCGTCATAGTCTAGAGCAAATATATCCACTTTGTCCCGAAGCAACTCTAGCCAGCGGGAGAGCTCAGCCTCGTCGCCAAACACTGCGCGCCAGGAGTCGCTCAGGCAGACGAAGCAGTGGGACTGTGTGTGGCCAAGTGTCCCGCAAGTCTGACCTGCCCGAGCACATGTGCGAATGACGTACGGGCAGCGAGCGGTACTCCGAGACGCACAACGCTGAGCGTACCACTCACGGAGCTGCTGGGACGTAAGGGTCACGCGCGGAAGCCGCCGCAGCTGCATCTGGCCTCCGCCAAAATCTCCCCACTGAACAGCGCCACCACGACTGCCACTACGGCCGCCGCCACCACTCCTACTACCACGGTCGCCACCACTCCCACCACTACCACGAAGAGATGTTATAGCGGGCAAAGCAAGGAGGCGTGCGACCAGCAGGGCAGCACGCAGGGAAGGCAGAGCGACGAGCAGGCACCAGGGTAGTGCGTAGGGTAGGGCGGGGTGGCGCACGGTCAGGGAAGGGCTGCGCGCGTCCAGAGTAGGGCGGCGCGCTGCAAGTAGGGCGGCGCTCGGGTATGGGAGGGCGCGCGAGCAGGCAAGAGGCAGTGCGCGGGCTGGAAAGGGCGACGCGCGGGCTGTAAGGGCGGCACGCAGGCTGCCAGGGTGGCGCGCGGGCAGAAAAGGGCAGCGCGCGGGCTGCACAGGGCGGCGCGTGGCCAGCAGGGCAAGCGACGGGCAGGGGCAGAGCGTACGGGCGACGTGGCGGGCTGGGGCAGCCCGCACGGGCGACGCGACGGGCAGGGGCAGGGCGTACGGGCGACGCGGCGGGCTGGGGTAGCCCGTACGGGCGACACGACGGGCAGGGCAGGGCGTACGGGCGACGCGGCGAGCTGGGGCAGCCCGCACGGGCGATGCCACGGGCAGGGCAGGGCGTACGGGCGACGCGGCGAGCTGGGGCAGCCCGCATGGGCGACGCGACGGGCAGGGCAGGGCGGACGGGAGACGCGACGGGCTGGGGCAGCCTGCACGGGCGACGCGACGGGCAGCAGGGGCGCACGGGCAGCGCGACGCAGGGCAGGGCGTTCGCGGGCAGCGCGACGCGGGGTAGGGCGTGCGCGGGGCGGCGCAACGCAGGGCAGGGCAGAGCGTGCGCGAGGCAGCGCAACGCAGGGTAGGGCAAGGCAGCGCGACAGCCAGCAGGGCGGCACGCGGGCAGGGCAGCGCGACTGGTGGGGCAGCGCGACGGGCAGGGTAGGGCGCTACGAGCAGGGTAACGCGCTACGGGCAGGGAACTGTACGGTGGGCCCTAAAAAAGACGGTCCTAGAACATGCGTCTGTCAGGTGGTTTGCTTAGTGAGATGAGATGACTTTTTCGACCAGTACCAGTGGTCACATTTCTAGAAGTTCTTACGGTATGTTTGGCTTCTGAATCGAAACAATTTGACTCTGTGTGCCTGCCTGTCAAGTGGTGAGGTTACTCCGAGATGAGACATGCATTTAGGCTTGCCACGTTATCACATACTGTACCGTATCTGTCAGAGCATTGTACTGTGTAGGCTGTAGTGGGGTAGCCAATATGGGGTACAACCTAATTAGGGTTATACTTGTATCAACTTTCTGCTCAATGCATTCATTCCTGCTGCTAGATTCTGACATGGTTTCAGAGCAAGTCCTGTTCCAGGACCGTCTTCGTTAGGGCCCACCCGATCTTTCCTGCCCGTCGCGCTGCCCCACCCGTTGCACTGCCTTGTCCTACCCTGCCCTGCGTCGCGCCGCCCCGCGCACGCCCTGCCTGCATCGCGCTGCCCGCACGTGCCCTGCCCTATTTCGCGCCGCCCCGCGCACGCCCTGCCTGCGTCGCGCCCCACCCGCGTGCGCTCTGCCCTGCGTCGCGCCGCCCCGCGCACGCCCTGCCCTGCCCGCGCGCCGCGCGTACGCCCTGCCCTGCCCGTCACGCGACCCGCGCACGCCCTGCTCTGCCCGCGCGCCGCGCGTACGCCCTGCCCTGCCCGTCGCGCGGCCCGCGCACACCCTGCCCTGCCCGCGCGCCGTACGTATGCCCTGCCCTGCCCGTCGTGCGACCTGCGCACGCCCTGCCCTGCCCGCGAGCCGCGCGTACGCCCTGCCCTGCCCGTCGCGCGACCCGCGCGCGACCTGCCCTACCTACGCGCCGCACGTACGCCCTGCCCTGCCCGTCGCACGACCCGCGCACGCCCGGCTCTGCCCGTGCGCCGCCCTGCTGGCCGCGCGCTGCCCTGCAGCTCGCGCACCGCCCCTGGCAGCCCGCGCGCCGCCCTAGCAGCCCGCGCGTCGCCCTTTGCGGCCCGCGCGCTGCCCCTTGCCTGCCCGCGTGTCCTCCCCTGCCTGCGCGCCGCCCCGCCCTACCCTACGCGCTAACCCTAGTGCCTGCTCGCCGCCCGGCCTTCCCGACGTGCTGCCCTGCTGGTCACACGCCTCCTTGCTTTGCCCGCTATGACTTCTCTTCTTGGTCGCGGTGGGAGTGGTGGCGACGGTGGTGGCAACAGTGGGAGTGGTGGCGGCGGCCGTAGTGGCAGTCGCGGTAGAGCGGTTCAGTGGGGAGTTTCTGGCAGTGGCCAGATGCAGCTGCGACAGCTTCCGCGCGTGACCCTTACGTCCCAGCAGCTCCGTGAGTGGTACGCTCAGCGTGGGGCGTCTCGGAGTACTGCTCGCTGCCCGTACGTCATTCGCACAGGTGATCGGGCTGGTCAGACTTGCGGGACAGTTGGCCACACACAGTCCCGCTGCTTCGCCCGTCTGAGCGACGCCTGGCGCACAGTGTTTGGCGACGAGGCTGAGCTCCCCCGCTGGCTAGAGCTGTTTCAAAACAATGTGGATATATTTGCTCTAGACTATGACGCTATCCTTACTGCCATGTATGCTTTGACTGTTGGTACTGAGGGTGACTGTTACCTGTGTGTGCCGCCCGACCCTGGTATAGAGGCTACTGCTCTAGGTGCTAGTGAGTCTGCTGTCTCTGGTACTGCGCCTATAGAGGCATTGCACACCTTCACGCTTGACTCAGGTGCTTCTTGCTACTTCTTTCACGACAGTACCACAGTCACACCACTCCCTAGACCCGTTGCAGTCTCACTGGCTGACCCCTCTGGGGGCCCAGTTCTTGCACGTTCCTCCACTGTTCTCCCGTGTCCGGCGGTTCCGTCCGGCTCACTGTCAGGTCTCCACCTCCCCTCGTTCTCGACGAACTTGGTGAGTAACGCCGTCCTTGATTCATGTGTTGATACCTTTACCCCTGGAGGCCAGCGTGTGGCGATCTGCACGTGCTCCCGGACTGGCCGTCACCTGGCCACGTTCACTCGTCGGCCTGGGTCGAGTCTGTACACAGTGACTACTGCGCCTTCTCAGGTAGCTGCGTCTGGTCAGGTGTCCGCGTCAGGTCAGGTAGCAGCCCCCTGCTCGTGTCGCCTCCTGTCGCACCAGACGCTCCTTTGGCACCACCGCCTTGGTCACCCCTCCCTGCCACGCCTCCGTGGCATGCACTCCCGCCTTCTTGTCTCTGGTCTTCCCAGGTCTCTCCCTCCCCTCCCACCCTCGCCTGCCCCGCCCTGCATTCCTTGCGTCGAGGGGCGGCAGCGCGCTGCTCCTCACTCCTCCTCGTTTCCCTCGACGACTGCTCCCTTGCAGACTCTCCACATGGACGTGTGGGGCCCAGCCCGCGTCACTGGACAGGGCCGCGAGCGGTACTTTCTGCTGGTTGTTGACGACTACTCGCATTACACCACGGTCTTCCCCTTGCTCTTCACTGCAGCGAACGTCAACGACGATGCCACTCGTATTAATAATGTGGTTTCCCTTCTTCGAGGCGCAGCACTTGAGTGGTGGCGCCGGACC